CCCCCCCCCCCCCCCTCGTAAGGTCGGGTGAGTGTGGGGGTGGAGGGGTGAGAGGAGGGTCAAAACGGCTTGTTTTTGCGTCACTCGGCAATTTATCACTGACCGAGGTGAGGGAGCGAGGGTTTTTTATCACCAAAAGCCTCCTCCCAGTCGCCGAACCTGTCAACTGACCACTGCCCGGTTTTTTTAACTGCTGCGAGGCTATTTACGCAGCAGCTGCACATCGCTGGCTCTATTGGCTTCTCGCGCGAGTCGCTTACAGGGGTGTGTGTGTGTGAGTGCCCTAGGGATAATCACCGCCTTGCCCTCTCGCTGTACCCCTGTGTAACAGGTTGACTTACGGGCTTATACATAGTGCCTACACAGATTGGTCCTACGCTGTGGACCAAGGTGTGTCAACTAGCTCATCTAGATGATTGGGATCGATTTCCATGCACAGAAGGACCAATTCTTTGGGTGTTTGTACAGTCAAGTTGATGTTCGGCGCCCTGTTATTCTGCCAAAGTCCTCCAAACCAGCTGTTCGCCCTCAGGCTAACGTGGCTTTCTCGCTTTCTGAATGGTTCTCTTCGTCCCCACACATTTTTACGCTGTGCAGTGTAATCAGGCAAAATTTGCATCAAAGACGCACCGTGTCGGATCATTGAATGCATGTCTTGGGTATTTCGACGAAGTCCTAAGCCAGGAATCTCGCCTTTGTTTGACCTTCTTGGTGAGCACTCCAAGTGAAGAGCGCTCGTTTGTCTTCCAGAATGTACCTGTCACGTCGAAGTAGCCACGGCATTTGACGAAGGCTCGACTTCCACGCCAGTCCAGCATCTTTCACACTTCCTATCTAAAAGTCGGGTGCAACACGCAACCGTTGTGGCTTCTTGTCAACTGAATGCAACCCCTGCCCAATTACCTTCACCCATGTCCGCAGAGTTGCCCTTTTTTGTTGTTGTGTGAAATGCTAGCGCGGCAGTTGTGTTTGGATGTGGTGGATGCGTGTGGTTTGTCTCGCAGGCACTCAACAACACGTACCACGCCTGAGTGGGTTTCGGGTTTAACTTTCAGATTCTTTGCAAATAGCGCGACGACGAAGGGCTTGGATTTCACGCGTGCCCAACTGCACTGCTCGTGCCAAGGCTTTTTCGGCGCGGTTTTTGACCGGCCAGCCTCAGTCCCCCACACACCAAGACGGGAAGTGTGATTTGTGGTTTTAGGCGCGCTCAAGGGTTTGAGGGGCGGTCTTTCCCGCGTTACCCGCCCACCTCTGTTCTTGCCAACTTCCGTCTACGTCTTAATTAGGCGTTCCGATGAATTGCTAATTAGCCCGACTCGTGTAGACCGAATTAGAGCAGGGCAATAGCTTCTCCGTTTTTTCTTCAAGTTGATTTATTTTTGTCCCCTGCCAAAGAGCAATCAACTGTTTGTTTTTTGTTGCTGTTATCATGGCTCTGTTTTGCTGCCAACTTCTACGTTGCCGCGAGGCTATAAACTTGCTTGAACTTGTAAATGCACAAATTTTGGACAGCGGTTTTCCTTGAGTAGGTGGTGCAAAGGCCACTCTAGAGGAGGTATAAATGGGAAGATTAGCCTCTTACGTAACCCGGGGAATGCTGCGATTAGAACTGTCACACGACACGAACTGGTGCACTTTACTTGATGGCTGTCATTTGAGGCGTGTCCAGCTATTAGACATCCTTTTTTCCTGCTATAATTTGTGACCTGTTAAACACGAGTTTCTTGCGGGGCCGCCCTGATGTCTGTCTCATTGTCTTGTGTGACAAGCTTCTCTTCGTTAGCGTCGTCAGACATTCCTCCGCAACTTCATTAACTATAAACCGGCCTTCCCTATGCACAACAATGATGGCACCATGGCGCGTGCATCAGTTAAGACAGTCTGATAACTAGACTGCGACGTGCCCCATACCACCTGCGCCTGTGTCGTTAATTTTTAATGCAAATTCTACCCCACTGCGCCCAGTCGTGCACGCGCTCACATCTGCTGCCCCCCACAGTCAACTTGGTTCTCCCTGTGGCACCAGCGATTTGATTTGTAGCACTAGCTGCTGCTCCGGGGTGAACGCGTTCCCATATTTCGCTTTATCTCATTTGGCAGGTGTTTGAGAGGGGGGGTGGGTAAACTGTGGATTAGCTATGACAGCCTCGGGCCTACGCTCATTGTCAGCGTTGTTGTTTTTTTTGAATTGAAAGAGGTGGCGTGAATGTGACGCTTCCTCTTATATCACCGAAGTTCTGTTATTGTGCTGGTGTATTGTCAATTTTGACATCTACTTGTCGCTCTGCCTGCTTAAGCGCTATGGTCTCTCGCATCTGGGCAGCCTGCAACGAGATCGGACTACTTCCAGGTTCAATTTGGCAGCCATATTTAACGTTCTTTTCTTAAAGGCAATGTACATCGTGCCGCATTGTCACAATAGTGGCCTATTTGTGCAATTTCCCCTGGTTAGTGGTGTGGATTTTATCTGGGGCACTACCGTAAGTAGATCTCGCGATAGCATGGGTCGTCGAGCTAACTGAAAACACTCCTGTTAGATTCCTCGAAATCTCCAGGCCGTTTTCCGTGCTTGTAAGAGTGGGAATCACCTCCGATACTTTAAAAGCCATTGGTTTCTTGGAAAGCCGAACTTGAACACGTGAATCGCACTTGTTTCCTCCTCCGCCTTGTCTAGGTCGTTTCGCGGCGCTGTGGCCATTCATTGGAATCCTGGCCGAGCTCATCGTCCTCCTCATCACCATCATCATCTACGAGCGTCACAAGGCCGCTAAGAAGAAGAGGGCGGCGGAGTGTGACCCCCTCCTCACCACCACCGTCTCCCCCAGTGGGGACACCAAGTCTGCAGGAGGAGCCCAAAAGTGAGATCCCTGTTCTACACCTCTACCTAATGTTACATATTTGCGACGAAGGGTGTACCACTTTGGCCACACCCTCTTAGGCACTGATGATGTCGCTGGTGACAAAGTCAGTCTTGGTGTGTCCCCTAGCGGAATTGCTTCATTGTCACACTGGCCACAACTTGCACCCTGCACGCGACCTATTTTGCTTTTCAGCTATTAGTCCCATTGTGTCGAAGGGGGTATGCCCTCTTTTTTATACTAGTGCTCCTTTTTTGTTTAATTTGGTCATTCTGCACCCTACTTGGCTGCACCCTTCCCATCCTATCGCAGATACACACGTGGCTAATCTTTTCTGCACACTCGAGTGTTTGTGTAAGTCTCTCCGCTAACGCCTTCACCTCATCTAATTAAACAGCCTGTGCTCCCTAACTAGGAAAGTTAACTTGGCAACAGTAACTTCTAACATCGCCGAAGCTTTGCGTACCGTGGTCCTGACGATTTGAACCGGTGGAGTTAAGTCACAAGCGTTTCCGTTTTCATCCCGCCCCTGTACCGCACTCCACCCTCCGCAAGAGCGCGCGCCACTTCACGGATGAATGCTGGACTCGGGAAGGTCGCTATGGGGTGGTTTTCCACTCTGCTAGTCAACTGAGAACAGGGTCTAGACAAGTCAGTCTTGGTGTGTTGATAAGCGAGTGTGCGTGATAGGCGACTGCTAACAGTGACCAGTGCAATGCAGGGATGAGTCATTGACACTGTCAGATCGGTAAATGAGCCTCGCTCACGCACGATCGCTGGCAGACCACTGCAGCTACCTCGTGGCATCCTTTTTCGGTCCAGCCAAAAGGCCCTGGATTGCAGCTACTTCACCACTCGCATCACGACGACAGCATCGATTCTCACTTGTTGATACACGCCCCTTTGTTTTTCAACCTTTCAGTGAAGACGTTCGAGCGTAACACGCGTACCAGCCACCACTGCCTCCTCCTCCTCCTCCGCCTACTCCTCTTCCTCGCGGCAACGTTTTCCTGATGGTACGCGGAGGTTTTTCTTGATAAAGCTCAGTCCCAAACTACAACAACAACAAAAACTTCTACTACCGCAATTGTGTATTTGTGATTCTTACCCTCCCCCCCAACTCCCCTGTTTTAATCATGTCGTCTTTCGAAAGACAGCCTTGACTACTCTCGAGTTAGCATAGTCCTTGATCTTTCATCCACTCCTCCCTCTCTCTCTCTTATGCGTGTATGTTGCTGAACAGGTCATCTAAAGACGTAACAATAAACGTGCTCTTTAACTCTTCTTCGCCTTCTTGGGGTGTGTGTGTGTGTGTGTTTACTCTGTTGTTTTGCGTCTGATGGTTGCAGACTTACCATAACTGCCTTCACGATTGGGTGCTCACCGACTCTTGCTGCTTAGATTCCAAGTACTTCACGTCGAAATCCTTAGCCAATCTGTCGTGCCAGAGGCCTTGACAAGTAACGTCGACTGCTAATCGCGACGTAGTTGCACGTCGTTTGGTTTCTCAACGTGTGAATCTTATGCACTGATAGGTGTTTTCATGGCCTCACCAAAATCCAACTCTACTAATGTGTTCGTTCAATTACGCCAGTAATTTTGTGGAAATGGGGCGAATTACCGCAACGGAACTACCTCGGCCTGTCCTGTGGTAGCCTCGAAGCTCCATCGGGTTGTTCAACGAATCGCACAGCTTTCATATCATTTCACGGTGTCACATGAAACTCAATTGCTCTTAATTTGTTTAATTGCCACTTGAGGTTCGTGTTGTTTGGACCCCGACCTCCACGTCCTCGACACCCATTTTGTCGTTGAAAAATTCTTCCTGTAGCACCAAAGTGGCTTAAAGCTTGGAATCTTAACGATTTCCCGACGAAATGTAGTCATCATTCAACCTTGTTGGAATTAGAGTACGCATTGCCTTTTTTTGGGTTTCCTTGTCGATATTGGGAGCCTCTAAACTTGCTTTTTGAAAAATTTTAATTTACACCCGGCGATTCATCCCAGTGAGCCATTTCTAAACCGTACACAAGACGCGTATTTCCGCGTAGTAGATAACGCTCTTCAGGAAAATTAAATTTGCTCGCTTACTCGCTGTTCATCGGGTCGGCTTTCTGAGGTATCCAATGCGTGGTAATACCTTTTTTTTCTCGTTATTCCGAGACTGCCGTTTTCAACTTTTCTTACCTAAACACAATACCTCCATCCGCAGTGGCATGCATTCGTCGCCATAGTACCGACAAGACGGCCGACCAGAGTCAACATTTCCTCAGCGTCTTGTTTTTATAATACACAAAGGGCCAAAGGGTATTTTGTGACACCTAACAACCTCAACCGTACTCTACCGTTTCCGCTGGCACCGCAGGCGAGCGGTGAAATTCTGAGCAAAGCGACTGCTCTCAACGCAGTGGTATTGGCTGTGGAAATTCAGTGAACGCATGAGGGCCTCCCAGGCTTAGGATGACTCAGTTTTTACGCCGAGGTTGTGATGGTTTTGGATTTTAAGAAAAACCGTGCGGTGTCGTCTTCTTGCGTGCTACAAAGCTGTGCTTCAGCGGCAACGCGGTCGCATGCCATTGCGATGCACTTGTGCTGTGCACTTGCGTGCGTGCGTGCGCTATCGATTTTTGTGGCGTCAAGGTCACACTCGCGCGCACACTCCCCGTAAGCGCGTTAATGCAGCAAATCGGTGGCCATTAAATAGGCTCTCGCTTTTACCTCTGTCAGAAATTGGTGACATCTGGTAAATAAACACCGTCTCCCTGAGTTTTGGCGTCTTTAAACTGAACCAGTTAATTGAGTAAATTTCACCTGCGCTTTTATTTATAAACGGGGGTTGTCCTTAACGATGGGGTCAGCCAACCTCACGAGAGACTCTTCAGTCCATCGTTGGAAATGGTTTGGCAAAATTGGTATTCAAATCTCAGGCTGATTTATCACCACTCACGTATTTCCTATGAATCACCAAGTTCGCACTATTTTACATCACAGAAGCTTTCTACAGACTGTTTTCGGGTGCGCAGACTGTCGACAAAATGAATGGCTTCTTGTCTCTGCGTCTCCCTACCTGTCATGTCTCAGGCTTGTAGTTACGCACCGACACTTTAATTGTGGCCTTCAAAATTTCAGAGCTCGGAGTTGAAAAATCATCCCCTTTTGTCGAATCCAAAACAACACTGAACTTGCTTTCGTAGACTGAATATTTTTGACTAGCGTGCTCCCTTCCAAAAAACACACAATGTCTAATCGCTGTTTCTACTCAACCACCTGAACCACCCCTCTTCTGCGTGATTTAGACCTCGTTCTCATTGTCTCACTCCTAGGTTTGACGAATTCTGGAGTTTAGTTTCTTGGCACACCTCTTCGCGTAATTGACATCTGTGTTATTACGGTTGGCGGTTAATTTAAACCTTGACCTTCGTAGCGGTCACCGATCATATTCATGCACACGCTTTTCCTACGCGCTCACGTCTTCAGCCTGTGCGCTGATTGGTCGAATCGATTTTTTCTGCTGCGCGATTGGTCGACTTGCCAGACACGTACCTCTCTATTCTTAATTTGCCGCCTCTCCGTCGGCATTTTCAGAATTACGCTATACAGGCATTTAAGTTCACTAGCAGGAACTCCCGACTACCGTCTCGTAACGACGTACCCGGGTGGTTTAATTAAATGTGAGCCCAGGGAAAATTATCGTTGTTTTTTCGGCTTTTGGCAAACGCTCAACGCTTCCTCACTTTGCCCACTTTCCTGGGTGTGTTTGATTGCCCGATTGCACTAGCATCTGATCTCCGTTATAACATCTGCTATAAATACCCCACGAGCTTGCGTGAGAGTGTGTGTGTGTACGATAACTTATCCATAAGATCAGGGACGTTATTTACATTGGCCAGTGATCAGCGTCCGGACCAATCGAATTTTATGAGGCTAAAATCATTTTAGCGCTGGGTATATTTCTCCCGCCTGCTTGTAGATGACAAGCGACTGGGGGGACGGTTAGCTCTCGTCCTACGAGCAATTAACGACCTCCCAATTGTCGCGTAGACCAATTATCTCGACTGTTCTTTTTGCGTGTCACTCAGGCCATGCCGCTGCACTTAATTGCCTACACATTTCCGAAGTCATTCCAGGCACTTATTGGGCTTTTATCGAAATGGAGGGCAAATCCAAACTGTTGTTGTTTATTGGACAAAACGTGACCTTAACATGGGCCGGTTTACGCTTGACCCTCAGCAACGCATCTGACCAACTGGCTAGTCTGATTCGTGGAAACGTTAACTTCCCTACGACATAAAATTTTGTCCCAGGTCGCTTATCGTGGGCTTCACCCGTAGTTGCGCGTCGCGTCGGGGTTACATTCTGTTCGAGGGGTTCTGAGTAGATTAAACTTCCGTCGTAGCAGTATTTTTAGACTGGCCTTTGTTACTTCGTATTTTCTGCCAGTTATGTGCACAACAAACTAGACCGTTTTGTTTTGCTCAGTTTTTATCGCTGACCTACACTACCTCATATACTCCCTTGTCACGTGATCGCGTGCGACACGCAATTTGCCCTGGCCAAGACGGTTGGGGCTGTGGTGTTATTCAGTTTGTCCCACCTAGGCGCCTTCTCCTCTCTCTTTAGCGTGGTCTTCGTGAAAAAAAAGCTGTAGTGTAATCGAAAATGTCCACTGTAGGGGCCTAAATTAGTACTCCCACAAAACCCTATAGATAACATCCGGTCACAACCCGAGAAGGGAAAGTACAAATCGTCGAAAGAGAACACGACCCTTAATTCGCGTCACGCAAGTCAAGTCGAATCGAGTAAAATCGATTAACTAACTTCTGTGTGTGAATCGATACGCATGCGTTACACACAACTGCCAACAAAAAATCAATAACAAAGAGGGCGAATCATTGATACAGTCGTGCAAGCGCGGTGGGTCTGACCACAAAAAAAAATCGTACACGAAAAAAATCGATTGATTTGTGTTTGCTCGCGCTTGCAAACTGCGTCCGATCACGAATGCTAAGTGTGCTGGGTTGCTAGTCGCCACACCACCAAACGACCTTGTGGGTACCAATCGCAAATATGACTCTTGGCGATGTCACTGGAGGTCGTCTAATTCCAGAGTCCTGCCTCAACGCTTGCGTCACCCACGTGAACGGCCAAGCTGCCGCACACTCAGCCCTTGAGGCGTTTGCGGTGCCAATGCTAAAGCAGTTTTAACTGGAAATTCCACATCTTTTCCGCCTCCTTTCGTGGTTGGATCTTATCGACCCCGTCGAAAGCTCATTTATAGCTTGCAGTGGCAAACGCGCTGTTTGCTTCTCCTGCCCAACGTCGCTATTGTGTCATGAACAATTTCACACAATTTCCACCCTTCCTGTTCTCGTGTGAAGAGATCTCACGGGAATCCAAGCAGTCGTGTTACATTCGCCACGTAGATTTTTGTTAACTTGTACCTGCAAACCTCTAACTTGGTGCGTCTGGCATTTCGCAGCAGCTGTCCAACCTTGAAACCGTAATCCACTCCTCAGACGAAGTTGCTAGACTTAGCAGTAATTTAAACACTTTGATAATCGGACAGGGAACACTATAGTTACTTAAAAGTGTTTGAAAAAAAACTTCGGAAAAGACTCATGGGGTCAGATGTCGAGCTGCCTTCACTTTATTTGATTGGGTTTGAACTGAAAATGCTATTTGAACTATGAGTTTCAATTGGCTACTAGGTCGCTTGGCAACCGGTAACTGTGCTATAACACTTATAGCTACCGAATTAGCACCACCACACAACCCTACAGTTAACAGTCGAAAGAGAAAACGACCGTTTATTCGCGTCACGCCAGTCAAGTCGAGTCGAACAAAATTGAGTAACTGGCTTCTGTGTGTGGATCGATACGCGTGCGTTACAGGCGACTGCCAACAAAAAATCAATAACAAAGAGGATGAGTCATTGATGCAGTCGGGCAAGCACTCACGCGCGCAGTGGCTGTCTGTCCACGAAAAATCGACTGAACCATGTTCGCTCGCGCTTGCAAACTGCGTCCGCTCACGAATGCTAACTGTGCTGCCTTGCTGGTCGCCACACACTTAAACAAGTCCCTGTTGCCTCGTTGAAAAGTTTCTGGCCTTGGTTTTTGACTCAAATATCTGTTCTCGGATATGTGTTGCTTGAAAAGTTACTCTTGTCAGAAAATCATACGAGTGTCCTTTTTGGGGCTACATTTAAATCTCTCCCGACCCGATAACAGTCTACATTCTCCCTTTTTCTGCTGCTCATTTTTTGGCTTACTGTCAATTGTAGTAAGTATTTTTAACAAAATGCTAATCCTTACCATACGAACTGTCTTTTGAACTCATGTCATCCTAAGCCAATGGCGACGCGCTCCGGATGTGATCCGACCAATGAGGGGCCACCGTTTGATGATTTATAGCGTAATTACCCATGTTTGCGCGCGCGATCCGCGCTATCGTGCGACCTTAATCTCCAATCTACAGTGTCGTGCGATTTGTAAATTGCTTAATATCTAGTGGGTCATTCCACCTCTAGTCGCAAACAAGGAATTCTCGACTTAATTTAACTATACACCAGCGTTTCCATGTCCTTGTTCCCAGACAGGCTTTATTCTAATTGAATGCTCACCTTAAAATCTCCAAATACGACCTAATTTTAATGCGCACAAATGCAAAAGATCTGGCGATTATGTTGAAGGTTTTACTTGTATTTCTTATACAAAACGGTTTCAGTTATCTATAACGTACGAAAACTTTTTCATGGTTACCATTTTTGTCATATCGCGTTTTGAAAAATGGCGAAGTCTGCTCGTGGCTTTTGTTCAACAGAGCACTGTTTTCCCTTCACTTCACGCGCTTTAATTCGTCAACTATTGACTATGCGATGTTATTCAGAATACTTTTCGTTATCGGGCTTTACAGGGTTTTTTTGTGGCGAATCCACTGCGCAGGGATTTAGAAAATTTGAAATATGCTACTGCGTTTTAGTAAGTAGCGCTTTATTTTGCAGGTCAACAATGTATTCTTCCTACGTTTTGACCTTTGTACGGGAAAGAATTCCCCCACAGAGGCGACAGCAAGCAATCGTCAACCTGGACGGTGTAGGAGCAGCAAACTACGTTAGTCTGGCTCCCCTTCCAAGAGCAGACAAGAAAACAAAACGGCGGAAACGACACCGCAAGGTTCAACTTCTCCCGCAATTCCGTGGTCAGTCATCTAAACAGCTGAAGCGCGTAATGCGCCAGCAGCAGCACCCAGATGTGCGTCGACTGACTTGCCCCAGTGACCTGCCTCGACGGTTGCACGATCTATGGAACCAGTACGCAAATTCCCTTATCGATTTGACAAAATCTGCCCAATCAGATGAAGCCAATATTACCCATCAGCTGGAGAATATTTTGCGCATGGATTTGATTGGTGCACGTCTTCGTGTGCTCAGATCAATAACCACAAAGCAAGTAGGAGCTCACTTTCATTCCAACCTCTGAATATGCGTGCGCATTTAATTCATCTTAGCTAAAAGCACGTGTTGATTTTCAGGTTGACCTTGAGGGTATCGTTGTCATGGAGACGCGTAATATATTCTATCTAGCACGAGAGGAAGTGGTAGATGGCAAGGATGCGGAGGAAACATGGCTTCATATTGTACCGAAACGAGGCACCGTATTCCTACTCTTAATGACACGCGCAGAGATTGTGCTCAACGGCAACTCCCTCGCCTACCGACCGGCCGATAGAGCCGTCAGGAAGTGGAAACTCAACCCCTCGGCTGGGGCGAAGCAGAAGAAACGACCGCTGTATACCGACTTGTTTCGTGACTACTTGTTTACTTCTACGGAAGCACATCATTCACAAGCAGGCTAGACGTATTCCATCACAACGGAGGTCTCTGTGCTGTAGAACGCGGCAAAGCAATATTTTTCTATGCAACGCTCGTTGTGTTTTGTTTAAATAAGCCCTTCGGGGTGTGTGTTGTTATGTCAGTGGGCAAGCCGTATTACACAATTTTAGCCGCTGAGCTACATTCAAATGGGTAGCGACAGTTATGTGGATTCAAAAACTTTTCCTGAGTGTGACTTTCCTCTAACTGCCGAGATGATTAAGACAAGTGGTTCTTACGAATTATCAAGGCGTTTCGCTGTTTAAAAAGTAAGTGTGACTGCACTCTGTAGCTATCTCAACATTGCCTCTAAAATTTAGTTCCTATCGAAGTTATCACGCCACAATAGACTTGATTCAACAAAGTGGATATAATGCCTCAAAAGTGGGAGCACTTTACAGACTGGAGTTTGAATGCAAACGTTAAGAGTGGCAAGTTGGGGTACCAGATACCACTCAAATTAGTCTCTGATATTTGATCCTTGAATCAGTTTTAATTTGATTTGTAACATGTGAATGTGGTTGAAAATTTGTGAAAATACTGGCATTGAAATACTCAGAAATTTGTGCGATTACATTGATCAGACACAATGGAGCCAAAGTGTTTTCCATCCCTTAGGCAACATCCGTGCATCTGAGTTTGTTTAAGAGCACAACAATTATTTAAATATCACAACTTTTGTTGACCATTTATCTAAAACAGAAGATGGGATTTATTTTTGCCAACTAGGACGACTCCACCTGCGTTCTGATTCCATGACTTAACCTATTCCTTCTTTATAATATCTGTCATGAATGAACATAAAACGACCACTAGATTCTGTGGAAGGGCGACAAACACATCCACACTAAGTTGAATTGCTTCATAGATTGCAGATACATATAAAATTTAAAATGGGCTCATCGGATTTATATTTTGAAAATTGGAAAAGGAACGCGTTTTATTTCCAACTCGAAAAGGCAGACAGTTAGTATTTATCACTCTCATTTGTTTTATGTGGGAACTGAAGATTGGCTAATTCATAAGAATGTAACGTTCACTTTCGCCGATTTATAAACAGGGAATATTTTATACAATAATACTAAATTCCTACTTATTAAGCATTTCACATTTGGAAGAAACTCTGAAACGTCTTTTGATTTTTCATCTGATAAATAGAAAGCATGGTATGCACACTTGTTGGACAAGCATTTCATGCAGAAGTGAAGAATAATTTGCAAGTGCAAATCAGCGTAACTAATTACTATACATGTCACAATTACCATCTATAAACAAGAATTAGGCAGATTAATATAGCATACACCAAAACTGTATAATAATATTTTTCTTCCGCTTGGTATCGATAAATCTCTGAGCACAGAGTCGAAAATTCACCAATAATTCCATCTATATAAAAAAATTTCAAGGCCGAATGACTTTCGTCTAACCATATGCTTACATTTATTTTGCTTAATTGAAATTTGTCTGCGAACTACATCGTGGAATTGTTGCTGATAAAATAATAAAATTTACGCTTTACACAATGTTGCAAATTATTTTAATGACCTTGGACATCTATTTGATTGGCCATTAACCTGGTCACGAATTCATTTATCGTGTACTTTGAGGCTCCGGCTAAGGCTTCTTGTCATAGCTGACATTTATCCCTGAAATACCTCGAAGATTACCAACTATAATGGCCCAGATTGGTTTTAATATTCCATTACTAACTAGCACAGGGGAAGGATGGAACACAAATCGAGCACCTCCGCGTCCCCCAGCTCCCGCTCCGCGGATCGAGACTTCCTATAGGAAGCCTTTAGCTGCTTCACTTAGACGTCAAATACACCAAAAAGAAACACAATCCGTTGTTTATGGTCGACGTTTTGTTGTGTCAGAGTCTCTGGAGCATAGCAGAGCTTGGTTTAAGCGTGAAGTTGAGGCTCAACTCCAGCGCGGTGGCCTTTATGAGGACCCGTTCATGCCGCCGGTCGACTCCACCATCTGGCCTGATCGTAGCTCATCTTCGTCAAAATACAAATGGCTCAGACCACACGTAAGGCCCGTTTTTTCTTCAATTTTCAACCCTTACTAGAAATTTAATACCTTAGGTAATTTGTATCTCAACAGATTCCATACTTCTCACTTGCATTTATCCTTGCAGCTTCATATAAATCGACCTAACTGGTGAATGCTTTGCACCATGGAAACATGTACATGTCACCGGAATTCTTCAGCTTGCACCTATTTGCGATATTTATGTTAATTTTTTTTACGTTCAAGGAAATTGTAAGTGAACCAATGTTCATCGCTGACGGTCTTAGTCGATTTGATATCAGACAAGGAGAATTAGGTAAGTATCTTGTGCTGGAACACAAAACTTTCTGAAATTTGCTTCTTGATAGATCTTTTTAAGGTAAAATCAAATGGCTTATAAGTTTATGTGAAGTGGTAGTCAATTGACTTGGCTTTTCTTTAGCCATTTCAATCTTGCTCTCTTTTTGTGCCTTTTTTATATGATTTCGACGTGGTTCATGCTTCAAACGGAGTTACCGCACAATGAAAGCTGATTTACCTGAGTTGCGTCGGAGTACATTGCCATTTGAAATGAGCTATGTAACGCCATTTGGGTGCATGGGTCACAAACACGTTTTGTTGTGGTGGTTTTTTAAGTGATGCTAAGGTTATCGGTATCTCAAAGTTTCTGTTTTCTAAAGTATTTGGTAAGTACTTGCCTTGACTCATTGTAAGTGTGCGTGGTAAGCATCTATTTTCCCTCAAATTGACAGTATCTGACTCTCAGAATCCGTTGCTTATGGACCATTTTTTTTGAAAATAGGCGATTGCTGGCTACTCGCGGCTCTTGCAAGTCTTTCCATGCATGAAAACCTTCTTTCCGAGGTGGGTCATACCTTGTCTTCAGTGTTTGACGTTCAAGGAATTGCCTGATCAACTTGATGCCTGTTATTTATCATTTATATGAAGATACCATGTCAAAAGGAATCAATTGGGAATCGTTTGTGTTACAGTTTAATTTTGGCATTGTTCGTCCTAGCTTCAAATGAACCCAGTGAAATTGTCCATAATGCTCAGTGAATAGAACTTCATTTCCTAGTCGTAATTCGTGGTGGTAACTTGGCAATATTTTGATGCCTCATGGGGTAACTGACATTGCAAACAACAAGCAACCCTTCTAATCCGGAGCTCAAATTTAGGCTATGTCTTTCCAATGACTCATAGAGACGGATTCTTTTTTGTTGGTGCCAAATCTTTGTTCTTGTTACTATATCCAATTAGTATTTATAAAGGATATTATGGTTTGATCCCTTAGTTTTAATTTAGTGTTATTATAAAGTCTAACGAAACACCGATTCCTTTTATTATATCATTTAATTCCAAGGAAAATGGACGCACAAACTCTTCATTAAACACATTAGACCAAGCACCACTTTCTTGCACTGTTCGCCATTCTTTTTATGCTGGTTGAATTCCAGGTGGTACCCGGCGGCCAGTCGTTTACAACCTCGTCCAACGGCCAACCGCTTGTTTCCAACGGCGATTTTGCCTACGTGGGGATGTTTTGGTTCCGCTTCTGGTACTTCGGTTACTGGGTGGACGTTGTGGTCGACGATCGGCTTCCTACCATTGGTCAGCGTCTCGTATTTTTGCATTCCAGCGATCGCAGAGAATTCTGGACTGCCCTGTTGGAAAAGGCTTATGCAAAGTGTGTTTTAATCCCTCCTTCTTATCGTCCTTAGGTGTTGTTAATTTCTGTTACTATCTCTTTCCTCCACAGGCTTGTCGGCAGTTACGAAGCGCTTCGTGGAGGCACAACGTCCGAGGGCATGGAAGACTTCACAGGTGGAATATCGGAGATGATTGACCTGGGCGACAAATCACCCAAGAACCTCTTCACCATCATGTGTCGTGCGCATAGTCGCTGCTCCCTGCTGGCGTGCTCGATCGATGCTGATCCCAACGAGGTGGAAGCAGACGGTCCACTTGGACTCATTATGGGGCACGCGTACTCCATCACAGACGTGAGAACTGTAAGTTCTCCATGTCATCGTTCCGACGGGATGACATTTAAAGGTGGCCTCCTAATTGGATTAGGGTGCTTAAACAGGATATCATGGGCTTCTCCCTTTTTCAAAGAACATCCAAGTTCATTCCCATCAATACCACAACCTCTACTTCTCGAACCCACTAAAATCTCACTCCTAGCCTCTTCCGCTTAGCCTATATCACACTCTATTGCGCAACCAGCAGATCTCGGATCTCGGATCGTTGTGGTCTTAGAGTAGATTAGATATGTGGGTGTTAGCTGCCTCAAGTAGAAACCAGGACTGATGATCAGTCGGTCGCTTTTCAATTTGATCCTCTAAGCAGGCACGTGATGCGAACATCAGCATTGTGAATTTAAAATGTGTGTGTGTGTGTGTGTGTGTGTGGAGACGCGACCTGCCTAATAATCTTACCAAACTAGACACCTGACGCCATGTGAAGCGGCATCAAAGGCATCCTGGTTATGCTTTGCCTAAAATGGCGGACTTCTGTCCATTTTTAACAACCGCCTATACCGCCTCAGTGCTTGCATTTATTGTCTTAATTTTAAGTCAAATATTTATTTGCTAGATCGGGCGCTATCAACCGATCAAAAGCACGCTCTATTTTAAAATTGGCAATCAACTAATCCCTTTCTAACGTAGTACGAGTCATTTTGGCGTACACAGCACAAACGTGGTGGGAAAGCCGTCTGGGGAATTCGCCGCTAAAGGTACCGCATTCGGCGGTAGTGGTGCCAACGCAGCTTTAATCCGTTCCCCTTGGAATGAGCTTACAACCGCAGAAATTTAACGTAGGCGCGTTTGTAAAACTAAGTCGAATCATTCAGTTTCTGCTAAGCATTAAGCCGCGGGGTGTAATTATGCCCGCTAAACATCGTCAGGCCGTGCAATTATGGACTAATTATGTTTTTTTTACTTTCAAATACATTGTGATAATCATGCCTTGTCGTTACCACGTAAACAAA